GCCCTCCTTTGGGTGGTGGAAAAGAAATTCCAAAAAAGTTTTAAAATAAACATCTATTTAAAGAAAAGAGAAATATAGGAAAAAGTCATCCCCTAAAACGAATTTTCTAATGTGATATTAAAAAAAGATATTATCATGGCCATTTTTATTAATCTTACGGTTCATCATATCATGTCACCTCACCAGACTGTGGATCAATTCCCGGCCGGCCTTTGGCGCACAGCGGGTTCTGTGTAACAAAGAATTGAATACAAGAACAAAAGTTGGCTCATAGGGTGAAGTGGTGTACTTTCTGGGCCGCCGTGAGATGCAAAGGCTTGTGCTTCTGTCGCAGTTTGTTCCTATTGACTCCGAACTGAGTCTCGCAGCTGAAATACATGACGGAGGAAGATTTTCAACTTGATTGAGGAAAAAAATGAACTTCGTTTAAAATTTCAAACAACCTTTTATTCGAACACAAGAAAACACCGGTTTTCTTTAATTTCTTAAAGAATGCATTTTTCGCTTTGATGCACTGTTTAGTAGTAATACATGAAAAAAAATCCGGTGCGCGCAACAAACAACTTTCCCTTACCGATCTACTTTGAATAGAAATTATTTTCTGGCAATGCTGGGCTATTATAAAATTTTTTGCGAAGTGCATTTTAAATGGAGCTAAAGCTTAAAGCTTACAGATAGCAAGTCATTAAGACCGTTATAATTACAAAATGTCTATTTAATATATGGAAGACAGGCAGTAAAAATCAATTCACTATATCTGATTTTATAAACCACAGAATGACTAACTCCAATTTCAACATTTTTGAGTGATGTCATTTTAGTGATATTTTTAGTTGAAAAAGTTATCTATGCAGACAATGAGTAAGTTGATTCCAGAAGTAGTGATTGCAGTGTTGAAATATAGATAGAACTGAGCACTAGCGGATCCAGGATTTAATTTTGGGGAGGGCTTCAGCCCGAAACCTTTTTTTTTCATAAAAATTACGATAATTACTTTGGAAAAAAAGAAAGAAACTAACTACCTATATGAAATGGTGTTTAAGTTATTCCTTAAGTACTTTTAAATGTAATTACACGAACAATAATACTTTAAGAGGTATTTTTTAAATTTTTTTTCCCATAAAACATGGTTATATTTTTCGATTTTGGGGGGGCTTCAGCCCGAAAACCCCCCTCCCGTAGATCCGCCCGTGGAACTGAGAATAAAAGTATAAATATAGGTACTACTTTCTTATGAAAGATGTTCTTAGGAAAGACACTTTATTAAATATCTGTAGAAAAAAGGTTTTTTTAGTCTCAACAATTAAAAAAATATATTTTAAATTTATCCAAATTTTCACCTCTTCAGGGAAAAAAACTAAAGACCATATCTTCTTCCTAATTGTCCGATTTTAACGATTTTTTTTGTTTTTTAAGGAAATTCCATAAACTTTTAAAAAACCATATACAATATCGACTAAAATAGTTAACTTTTTAAAATAAACCATATTAAAGGTACTTTAGAGGAAGACATATATGAACATTGGGCATTTAATCCCTGTAAAGTGACATCAACGGGGATAAGACCTAAATGATATTAAAGACCACTTAATTATACAATGATACACCGAGTTTGATCAAAATCGTTAGGGTCGTTTTTGAGAAAATTGTAAAAATGTGTTTCAGCGTTCATATAAAGTGGCACTTCTGGTTAGCCGATTTTAACGAAAAAGTTGCTGTCACATCCGGCCCATATACAAACCTTAAATACTTAATATTAGTTTCGTACTACTTTTCGTTTATGAGCTAGACTGTTAACACACACAGACAGACACACACACACACACAGACCATTTTGTGACACTTGGTTATTTGAACTCAGGGGACCTCAAAACATGTATTTCCGTTGAAAACTAGGATTCAAAAATTTTCACGATCGCAATACTTACTCTTACTATATATTACATATAGACGTAAGTGAAAGTAAAAAGATCAGATAAATCTGGATTATTTGGCTGTAAAAATTTTTCTCTTGGTGACCCGTGTTAGCAATTTAATTTTTTAAATGTCTAAACCCATATACAGGGCGTCCTTTAAGTAGTGGGAAATATTTAAAGGAGTGATGGCAAAACTCAATATATACAAAAAAGTGTATATAAACAATGGTTCCATTTTCAGTAGGAACGTAGGGAATTAAAGTTTTGTGATTTTTTAAGTGTTACGATTTTTGTTGAATAAGAAGTGACAACTAAAAAAACTTTTTAATGTAAGTAATTAACAATTGTTTCACTGTAAACTAGACAAAATTTACTTTGAATAAAAATGGAGCATGCTTTTGGTAAAACCATTTAAAGGGGACTTTTGAGCGGCTAAACTAGTGGTGGGGGAAGCGCGTGATACAGAGGTGCGCCTTCCCCCCTGAACAAATTCCTGGATCCGCCACTGACTCATATACGGAGCATTTCTTTATTATAGGATAGATTAGGCCCGTGTTCCATGCCTCTGACATTCTCCCATATTTTATGAATTAATTAATTAAAGGCTTTCTCTTAGCCTTTTTCCTCATCTTTAAATAGTTCTGATGGTAGTTGATAAATCCCTGAGCCCTTTCAATAGGTATTTCTTCTTCTACGTCTTCAAGGTGACCCTTGAATAAGAAGCTGGTGGAAAAGTTCTTTCCAGATGCAATACATTTTATTTTGATGTCAGAATGTCATCTTTTCCCCACATTTACATATTATTTCCACGCTTTATTCTAAATCCTATCTTTCCTAATCGTGCTCAGAATTTGCGTTCGATCTTCATCATATCAGTTGTCTTCAATGGTTTGCAATCTTTCTTTAAGGAATTCTCTTTTTTCCGATTCTATAATTCTATTTGCCATTTTCTTGGCAGCTTTTCAGATCTCCTGGAGACCCCTTTTTTTTTAGCTCTGTCTCTATTACCTACCAGTATTGGTCCACTGTGACGTTCCCTTGAGTTTGAATTTATGAAGGTTCCTTGAGAGAGTTAGATTTATTCTTCACCTCTAGTTGGAATTATTTATTTATTTTTTTTTTATTAACGAAATTTACAACTGTAATTAATAATAAATACAACAAGTAAATATGAACAAGTAATATGACATGTACAACATGAGGAGAAACTACCTATTGGTAGCACTCCAATCTAGTTGGAATTTGATTTTTACTTCAGAATTTAAGTATTCTTTACGTATCCTTCTTTCCTCTTGATACCATATTTTGTGAAATCGCTTTAATCTTTTTTGACATGACTTGATTCTAATCAGAATGTGATGTGGATCATGATGAACCAGGATAGCTTTTTATATCTCCTAGTAAGCTATGATGTGACTGGTGTTTGCTATTTTTAATTTGAAATTTTGTTAATAACTCGAGAACTTGTAACAAAAAGGTTCTCTATAACTTTTATTTTGAAAAAGGTTTCATAACAATTTCATGCTCTGTTTAAAACTTCTAGGCTTACCATTATGATTCTAGTTGGTAAGAATCTATGCATTTACATAAAATTTTTATTTTTATTATTATTATTATTTTGGCGCTACGGTCCTGCAAGAACCCAGGCCTCCTCCACTACAGCCATCCAATCTCCACGGTCTTGTGCTACTTCTCGCCTATCTTTGAATGCCCAGCCAACTCAGATGGTCCTCCACATCCTCCAGCCATCTGATCGGTGGGCATCCTCTACTTCTTTTGCCATCTTGGCTTCTCATGCATTATCCTCCTTGTCATTCTTTGGTCGGGCATTCTTTCCACATGACATAACCATCTGATTCTGGCACTGTTTATCAATGCCACAATATCAGGTTCTCCGTAAAGTTCCCGCAGCTTCTCATTCTTTCTTCTCAAAATTCCGCACCATATTCTTCTCAATAATTTTTTCTCTTCTAGGAGTTGAGCGAGCATTCTGAGATTTTGATTAAGGTCCAAATCTCACACCCATACATAACATAGATGAGGATTTTGATTCTTTTAGAGAGTGATCTCAATTTCAAGTCTCTTTGCAGTGAGAAATAGCACCTTCCTATTTCCTGCTGCTATTCTGTCCTTTATTTCACTCTCCATTTTGTTATTGCATGTGACCAGGGTTCAAAGGTACTCCTACTGGTTAATAGACCTAAAGTTGTGATCACTTAAAGCTTTTTCCGGATTCACTTCCTTTTCTGTTTGATTTCATGTACACACAGTCTTATTTCCATTAACTCATGAAAAATGTTTTTATCAGATTTAGACCAGTTACCCACACATGACAACATAATAGTTGAATTCTAAATGGGGAGATATGAAATAAATGAGACCCATAATTAACATATAAATAAAACTGAATCTGAAGTAATCTTAGTAGAGACAGAAGTGGCAATAAAATAAAATTCCAAATGTTTATAACAAATTCTTTATTTTGATATATGGTATTGACCAATGAGAAAAACTAAACTCTTATTTAATTAACAATCTAACATAGACTGTTAAATATTATTCCAGTGGAAATAATTTTAGTATATTTATTGGAGAATACATTGTAATTAACTACTATCAATCACATTGAGCATATTAATGATCATAAAAACAATCGATAAAACTACAAAGCATGGCTATGAGTTATCAGCAAATTATGTATAATAATAATTCTTATCATTTAACTAATAACTGGGAAGCTAGTTACTTGATTAATCATAACCGCTCTAAAGAATTATGTTTGTGAATGCTATCCATGTGGATTTTTCTTTTTACACTTGACACACACACACACATATATATATATATATGTGTAAATTACGACTTAAGCCAACTTCTAATTCACCAAACTGATAGTCTAAGGTGAAAACATCAAACAAAACAAAATTGAACACCAATCAAGCATTACTTTATTTACAAGATTGAATACTTTAAGAAATACCATATGTATGCTAATACTGTGTAAAATAAAAATCAAAGTCTCAAACTTCAAACAATATTTAAATAATTGACAATTTTCATTGTGAAAAAAAATATATACTGAAGTGCATGCATATATATATATAATGTTTTGAAAGGAATTTCATGACAATATCAACTTAATAAATAATAAATAAGTACAGTATTGTTGTTAAAAAAATTAATTCATTAGAAATAATTATATTATTATTTTATAATTAAAACTAAAGAATATATTTCTAATATATTCATACTTTGATGAAAAATACTTATTGCACCATTTAGTTGAGTGGTCCCTAGGGATAAAGATATTACCTAACTGTAAGGAGGCCACTAAAAAAAAAAGTCAAGCGATTCTCCAATAAAACAATTTTAATTCCTACGGTTATAGGTTATTTGAAATAATTTGATTACCAAATATTTCTTCTAGCCATAAATGCATTATTACATAACTATAGTTACCTTTTTAGGTGCCATTAAATATTCTATTAATAACAAATCAATTATGACACCAATATGGATAGTATATATAATATGTATATTTATAAAAGTCATAAAATATATACATTTCCAACATCATTTCTCACAATCTTCCAATTATCACTTGAAATGAGCTTGTATATATATAAAACAATTACTATTTATATACATAGAAAAATCAATATAAATACAAATTAATTTAAATAAAGGACGGATAACTTAAAATATGTTAATGTATCAATCATAAAACAAAATACACTAACACAAATAAAAAATAATTAATAATTAACAACATTTAAATAAAAATAAAGAATACAGAGGCCTAACAAATTTTAATACTCTAACAAATTTAACTTAAATATAAGTGGTAAATTTAGTCATCGTTGGTGAATAAATTAATAAATTCATATAATTGTCTATAATCTTATTTACAAAATATTCATTATAAGAAGAGTACAAAGTAATTTTTCCAGCAATCAGATTGTCACCTACTGTTTTATTTACATTAACTAATTTCATCAAAAAAAGACTATATGCAGACTTCAAAACAGGCAGAGCCTCCACATATCTGCCTCACACATTTTCCTTAAAAATACATGATAATCACTTTTCATAAAAAAAAATCACAATCTCCAATCAATTTCATATCTTATTCAAAGTTTTTTTTTTTTTTTAAAGAAGAAGATTAATTAATTTCCTAAAAGTCTATCACATTTAGAATAGTTTGAAACCCTAAACCTATAAACAGTTATGACATCTATAACAACATTTACAACTGACATTTGATTCCCAGACAATAGGAATATTTAAGAAGAAACTGGCTCAGCAGCTGGATGAGTAGATGTGGCCCAAGGGAGAGCCACAAAAGTGATATTAGGTATCAAGGCGGAGGTGAAGGTCAGCGGTCTCTTCTTGTTCACTCTCTGTGTCGACTGAGCCCGCTCGTGCCATGCCTCTTCGCTTCCAAGCTTCAAGCCTCATGATCTGATCAAATATCGTTAATAAATAATAAAAATGTAAACATTATTAATTCATTAATATAAATTTTATATCTAAAGGTGCTTGCACACGGGGTCATTGTCATGGCCAGTAAATATCCTTCGAGAGTCATTGCTTGAATAACGTCACCACTTCATGGTCAGTTAATGACCGCCACAAACCAGGATGGATGTAAAAGCATCAGGAGGATTGTAATTCTATTTGTAAGATAAAAAATTTATAAATAAAGAGTTATTATTTGCAGTTGTGAGCAATATGTATAACAAACATATTACTCCACTTCTGTCAACATGCCATGTACCTGAAATGGTAGGCAGAGGGAAAAACAAAAAATTTATTGGCTGCCACGAAAATAATTCATTTTTCTTTTTAGAGACCACCAAGTGTATTAATTCATGAATTTATTTAATATCAATTCCAAGATTGTTTAATATTCAACATAAATTAGAATTGTTATTTCAATTAAAATATTTCAAATATATAGAGGTAACAATTAGTATGGTTTTAGGTACAATTTAGCCCATTTTTTACAAATCTAAATTTTCAATTTATAATAAATATGAGAATTGATTCGCCATTATCAACTTCAATAACTATATTTAAAATATATTTACGTAACAATTATTGTGGTTTAGGCACAATACAGCCCATTTTTTACAAATTTAAATTTTCATTTTATAATAAATTTGTGAACGGAATCTCATTAATAATACTATTAATAATACATTTTCAGGATTTTTTCAAGTATTTTTGTAATTTAAAATTGTCGTAGTTCAGAACGTTCTCATTATGGATTTTTTTAAGTATTTGACAGGTATAACTGAAAATATATTTATATTTAACATAAAAATGAAATTTAAAGATGACTATATTGATAATGAATTGGTTCATTAGTTTATTCTTCAGTTTTCAATTACCAGCTCATTAATAGCTTTTTTGTTCTCATCATTGCCTCTTTCATGCCCTTAAAGTAATATCCACATAATTGGCTACTGGTGGCTACTAGAACATTTGTAGCAAAATCCAATACTGCCCTCATGTGAAGGTCTACTATCTGGCCACTACTAATGGCCACATGTGTAGGCATCTTAAAAATATTTGATGCATGAAAGGATACAAGAATTGTCTCTTAGAAATGAGTAATCAAATCTCTAAAAATATTTTTAGTACTGGACCAACATGATTTGATAATTTTCAAAGGTAAATTATAATATTCTAAAAAATATTTAATTTAAAAAATAAATACAGAAACGACCTAGCCTGAATATATATACATGAAATGTATATGCTTATCTACTTAAACACCTTGGTAGATGGTTAGGAAAATTGACGTCTTTCAATATTTAAAATTGGTGAAGTAATCGAGTGTCATCAATCCTCGAACGAAACTCAAGACTCATTTAGATGTTGATAAGCAAGGGACGAAAGCTACATCTCTGGAGCCGTAAAGTGTAGTGCAAGGCACTCGACTACTACACTAATTTTAAATATTCGTCAATTTACCAAGGCGCAGTAAGTAGAGATGCTAGTAAATTCTCTTACAATGGATAGAGAATTTAGGATTATAAGTCAGGATTTTATTTTTAATTATATATATATGTGTATTTTCTTATTTTAACGTTTAAATTTTCTATTGACAATGGACAAATATGATCACAAATGTACATTTGATATGATATGAAATCATTAAACATTTGAGAATACTGGAAATATAATAAAATATTATTTTTAGTATTTTGACCTCAAATCATACCAAAATACTCGTGAGATCTACTTAATAACTTGCCATCGAATTTGAAAATCAGTCCGGTGGTACGATTGAAAAATCATTACATACTAACAAGCAGTCAACCCAAATACATGACCCTCCTGGTAACTTGTAGTCAGGTAAAAAGAAATTTTATGAATTACATAAATAATAAACTTTCACTAGCTCAGAGTTCCGATGCTTCACCTATATGTACAAAGAAAATAGTTGTTTTATTTGTGGTTACTGACCATGGAAGTTTTATAGTATTTTTATGTATGTTGATATTCTAGAATTTTATTTGAATAAATAATTAATTAACATTTGTATTGTAGTAAGGAAGCTATGAAAGATTGTACAATGTGATACTGAAATTAATTCATAATGTTAAGTTAAATAATATCAGTGTTATTTTTATTTTATATTTTTATTATATAATAAACAAATTTTGAAAAATGCTGATTGTTATTTGATGTTTGTTATTAAACATAATAATAAAAGGCTTAGCGAACACGGAGGTTCGATGCCGACACCACCAATCGCTTATTACACACCTCCCTCGACCGTTTGCCGTCCAAACCCAGTCCCTTCAGGATCGGCTTTAATGCAATCTTCCCACCTTTGCTTCGGTCTACCCCTCGGATATTTACCAGTCGGTACAGCAAATATTAACCTTTTAGGAATTCTCTCATTACTAAGCCCAATAATTTTACAAGCCCATTTGATTAAATATAAAGTGATAACAATGTTTGAATATTTTTATTAACAGCAGTATTATTCTTTGATTATGTTAGAAAATACACTTTAATAATTAGATCCTTTCGATCAATTAATGTTTTACATTTTCTATATCAAGAGCTATATTAAACCATTAAACTAACAACAAAAGACAGACATAAAGAATATTATTAGCAGAAACAGTCAGTTTGTATGCATTTACTACAAAATTTAAATATTTCAACAGTTGATCCAAGTAATATTATAATTTATCTTGTTTAATCAAAACAATGAATTGTTTTTAAGAAAGTTACTTAATAATATATGTTCAATAATAATTATCAATTCTTGAAACCTTTCAACAATCAATTCTAAGAAAGAAAAAGAAGAATTATTTGAAATCTTAATTCATTTACATTACATGCCAACTAGATTTTAATCAAACTATGGCTAAGCTCTCCAGTATTGAGATGACTACATGCAATGCCTTAATAACTTTTTGATTGCCAAGCAGATCACTGGCAATACAAAGGACCTCAAAGTTTACTAAAACAATCTTATTTTAGGTTGGTGCACTTTTCAAAAAGCAATTGCAATGTTTTCAGTTAGTATAGGTTAAAGAAACAGTACAACATGCTTATTAAAATCAGTTTCACATTTGGAAAAAGAAAAAAAAACATCATTTAATCTAAAAATATGTAAAACATGCTTTTAAGAAAAAGAAATAGACATTAATCAATAATAAACTTTCATCTGACCTCAATGTTTAACAAATGACATGTTCATTAAAATGAAAATGAACAAAAAATGTATTTAAAAAAATATTATTATTAATAACAAGTGCAATGTGCATGCACTGGCAGTCATAAATGATAGTGCTTTCATATCAGCTTTAAAGTGAATTTTTTTTTTATAAATTGCTTATTTTATTTTTGCCTTTTAAATTTGAAACTGTCATTTTGTTTCTCTGTATATCAATATTTTAATTCAAACGGTGAAGCGAGAATTTTCTAAGCATTTTTTTAATAAATATTCATACCAAGAATAAGTTTATGTAAGCCAAAAATTTTAATAAAGTAGCCTGAAATGTTTTAAGATTCGTATTAACCAGAGATTTCTCTGAAAGTAAGGCAGGAAACGCATGGATTTAAAAAGAATCAAGAAGTTAGTTCGTGTTATCTGAAGTTTTACACCGAGCAAGTTCATAATAATGACGGATTACTATAACCTATTAACGAATCCTGGGGTCTGAAAAGGCTTCTTGGTCATATGTAACTCAGAAGCTGAACATGGATGCATATCTGTACAACCGTAAGTAAAAAAATAGTATTTACTAACTGTTTAACTGAACTCATGAACCTTCATATGTTGTAATGATATATATATATATATTAATTTAATATTATCCATTAATTAATTAATTTAAAATTAAAATAAATGGATATATATATATAAGTAAAAAAGTCAGATGATATCATTTTCAAACTAAAATAATAATTAATATTGAAAAAAATATTAAATAAAATAAAATGAATTATAATAAGATTTTTACAAAATGAAAATACTTTATTTCACAGACACACGCACGCACATATACAAAAGTGGAAATTCGTGCAAAAGCTATTTGTGCATGTGACTTACTCCACCCACTTCCAGGGTTCAATATCCGGTGAAGATGGTGTCATCAGCTGGCGCAACAAGACAATTAGGATTTAGGTTAAAATAAAAGCTATGTGAAAAGCCTAGGTGTTAGTTGGTGAACTCCTCAGCCAAAACCTCCACCAATTAACTAGCATTATACATAAATTATAGTGTTATCTCATAAAATTTGAAAAAAAACAATAATAAAGAAAACAGAAAAAAAAATTAATGAGAAGGCAATAAATTTTCATTAATTTCATTTAAATCAATCGCAAATACTTCTGTGCAATAATAATTTTGATTGTGTATGTTTTCACAGATAAACTGAATATACACAGGAGAAAGGTCATGTTTTACATCTGTGATAGAATTTTTTTAAAGTTATAGTTAAGAAACCATAACTAATTTCTTCTTAGTGTACGAGGAAAAAAGAGGTTATAATTTGGAGGATCATAAAATTATATTTCTCCCATTTTTAAATAACATTATCATTCATAGGAATTGCTTTATTGGTTGTTTCTCCACCAATACTACAAAGTTAATTTCTTATATGATCTGATTGGTACTTATCAACCATGGGTCTTCCATGATTCTATTAGAAAGTAAAGATAGATGGTTCATTCACAAATTCAAAGAGCTAGTGAGTGAATGGCCCATTGAACTCATTGAATGAGCGAAAGATATTTCAGTGCAGAATCCTATACTAATCATAACCACAGTTAATCAAGCATTTCTAAAAAGGGTCCAGATCGCCCTCCCTGATGGTCATCAAGAGCAAATTAAGGATTTCTTAAAACCTAAGATGGATTGAAGTTACACAGAGATAGTAAATATAATTATTTACCATAGACAATAATCTCTCTTTTTAAAATATTTAAATTTTATATTACAGCTTTCAAATTAAATGAAATATCCTAGATATGCACAAATATTATACATAGTAGTTATGCATTAATTATAATTGATAAAGAAAATTTATTATTATGAGTTGTAGATACATCAAAAGATTTTAAGAGAAAAATATAATTTTGTAATAATTTTTAATAAGGAGTCTATTGCAATAAATATGTTAATATCAACAAAAGCATGGCAATTTCAATAACTAAATGTGTTAAAACAAATATATATTTTGGGAGAATGTCTATACTTAAAATGTCTCATTATGTTTCATATCACATACTTGACTCATTTTTCAATTATTGCTTCTCTTTTTTTAACAAAAGAAAATTAAACTAGTACTTTATTATGTTAAATTTATAAATGTTCACAATTAAATAATCAAAAATATTTTGCATAACCAAACACAAATTGGGTTTCTTTACTCATTTTATTATCTGAGTAAATTTTCTCAAGATGTTGGCCCCATTTTCCTAATGCTTATAATGAAAAAAGTTCATAATTTTTTTTTTTAATTTTATTAGGGATATTCATAACTTTTTCCCACCCATTTTGAAGAAAATATGAAGCTAATTACTCATAAATTATTTCATCCATTATATTCAACTTCCAATCATCTAAATCTATTAAAATTAACCTTAAAAAATTGTTCTAAACAATAAAAATCCTACATAAAAACAAAACAAACTGAAATTCAGTTGAAATATTCATCTTACACCAATCTAATAAATATCATGTTTCAAATAAAAATAATGAAACCATAGATTACAAACTTTTCACTTATAAACCTTTCTCATTCCTCACTTTTTCAACTGTAGCCATGGATTTTCCATTCATGCTTTTCTAAATTTGGGGTATAAACTATTTACTATTAACAATAGAAAATACAGCTTCGGAAAAATTTACTTTATAAAAAAATAAATAAAAGGAAGATCTGGAATACAAGGATTAAATTGTAAATGATTTTTTTCAACAGATGGATCAAATAAAAATACTGGTCATGAACAAAGAGCCAAATTAATAAAGCGATCAGCGAGCAAACCGAAACAAAATTATACTTCTCCTTTCATTAAATATAATATCAAATGTAATAATAATTTATTAATAAATATTTTTTATAAGATGCAGGGCAGGGTGGTCTCCGCAGTATCTCGAAAGTTTCAATAGATATTTGCTGTATCCGTTCCCTGTATATAATAACAGCAATCAACCTCCCATATCCAATTTAACATAAATCTAAATGCTTTTCAGCATTCCAATAAATCAATCCTAATAGTCTATTTATTAATTTGATAGTCAGACACAAAGACGGGAGGAGGCCTGAGGGGTTATTCACCTCCTACTTTTTGAAATGACTTTTTAAAATTTATTTTAGAAAAACATTGTTAGTAAAATACAAATGAACAGCTCAATTTGAAATCCAGTAACTTTTATTTTTTTTTTTAAATAAACAAATTGACTCCTCAAAATCAAATCGAGAAGAAAAATTATTATGATTGGGAAATTATCAGCTCCATCCAAAGTAAAATTCTGACTACACACTTGTTAACAGTATCTAATAGGTATACACATTAATTATACATTGTTTTGAGTATCTAATCAAGAAGCAATATGTAATTCTTTGATTTTTTATCATATAATCTCTTGAGAAATTCTCCAGCATTAACCCAAAATTTGGGGCCCACACTCAGCCTCTATAAAATGGGCAATCTTAATTGAGAGAAAAAAAAATGGTAAATGAGAGCGATCCTGGTCAAATCTCCTTGTAAAACTATAAGGTTACAATGAAATAAATTCAAATAGCCTTCATGAGTTGTGGTATAGCTTTTTTTAATAATGAGTGACCACCCTGTATAATTTTTATCCATAATCATTGGGTTATTTAATAAATTTCACGCTCATGAATCAATAACCAGGATATACTAACTAAAAGAACAAAATACTGCTTGAAAAATTCGATTTAAAATTATTCTAAACAAATTTAGGGATAATTTAACTATTTATATACATTTTAACTAAACTTCACATAGAGAGGCGACATAGCAGAAGCAATATTCAGATGTTTCAATAAAAATTAGGAAAAAAATGTATACCTCTGCTTTCATTTCACCCATCTTTTCTTGAAGCTCACGGACTTTCTCACTATCATCGATATGGCTCCTAAGTTCTCCTTCTGCTGCCATTTCTGAGTTCTAACAAATGAAAATTAGCAATGAGCCATATTTTTGAGAAATTGTTTCAAAAATCTTTATAGCAAATCAAAATATTAAATCTAAAATATTCAGACTATCTAATTAAAACTATCCATACTAACATTAAGTATGGACTACAATATAATATTCAGTTAGTAAACAATATTCTTATTCCTCCCTGATGGCTTCACAGACCTTACAGATTTTCGAATAACTTTTTCCACCTTTCCATTTCTTGGGCTATGATTATAAATTTTGCTGCATCCAGCTTTGCACCATCCTTATTTGTCTCTTGTCGACTATTACAGTATTCAATGTTCTATAGAGGCTTCCTAGAGATGGATTTGCATTACATGTCCCACTTATCTTATCATCCTTGCCTTCATGTCAAGTGTAATGTAGACTGACCAGTATTTGTAAGCAGTACTTTATTGGTCCTTCTCATATAAGTATTACTCTGATACAATACCACACCAATTCTTGTAATTGTATGCTGATAAGTGGTATCGGTAAGCAATATCAAAACTGGCTTAACCTTAATTTAAGATTTCTAGAGATTTTTCAGGTTTTTAGTACCTTTGAAAAACAGAAGAAAACTATGTTATTAATGTCTTTTCTAATACTCAATTGTTTTTGATAGCATGAACCCCTAATAAAAAGACATCTATATCTACAATAAATTATAATTAAAGTTACACTAGAGTAATGTCATCACCAATGTACTTATTAATGTATAAACTATAAATTTACAAAATAAATTCAAACTTTTAATTTGAGATAATACTATTTATTAATTTACAACTTATTTTTTAAACTGAATGTTGAATGTACAGCTGATCACACCCATAAAAATAAACTTTAAAAAAATTTTATTTTACAAAGCACAAAGAAGCTAAAAAAGATATTCTTTTTCTCATATTTAAATGTTCAGATTAACACCAACTTTTGAAATTCTTCTTAGTGAAAAGATAACTTTTTTCAATGTATAGCTGGAATAAAAAAACAGATGGGTAAAGCTTTTTTTTAATAATAGGGTTTCTTAATAAACTAACAAGTTATTAGCATAAACTAATTACCTTCAGTTCGAGGCGAGATATCTTTTGAGTAAGTTCAGCAACTAACTGAGAACTTTCAGCATCTCTTATCCTTGCCATCATCAGTTCATCCTTCATCTGAAATTTAATTATGTAAGTTGTTACATACATACTTTTAATATACAATCATTAGTAAATTATAAAATATTCAGTTAAAACTGTAAATATTAATCTATTCAAATCTGTAAATATTAAAAATATGTAATATAAGAGAGATGCAGTAAGAATACACAATAATAAGATAAAATGGACAAAAAAAAATTCTATTCAAATATTAAAAATTTAATACTTCTATCCAATAATATTTATAAAATGTAGTATTTAAAAAATAATTAAATATTTCATTTTTTAAATAAGATAACTTTATATATTTATAGACAAAAGTTAAGGTTAAAATGCACGTTAAGGTTAAAAGTTGTTAAATTCTAGTTATTTAAAGTTCACACGTTAAGTAAAAAAGAAAAAGGAAAAAGGTAAGAGAAAAAAAAGTGGTAAGAGGAAAAAAAAGAGGTGGGGAGTGCTGCGTGAGAGGTTCAGATATTTTTTAAGATTCCTTCTTTGGAGAGAAAACATGATTTTGCCTAGGATTTTTTCATCATTTCCCAAAGCAGCCGGTGTATTTGCTGGTATTCCCCTTATGTTTAGTTAGATAAAAGCTAGAAATATAATTAACATTTCATCAAATATTAATTTACACACAGATTAAGGTGTAATTTTATTAATTAAAAAATTGTTTATGCCTCATATAAATGCAATTCATAAAATATATATATATATATTTTATGAATTGCATCATTTCATGAATTTTAAGGATTTTTTCATCATTTCCCAAAGCAGCCGGTGTATTTGCTGGTATTCCCCTTATGTTTAGTTAGATAAAAGTTAGAAATATAATTAACATTTCATCAAATATTAATTTACACACTGATTAAGGTGTAATTTTATTAATTAAAAAATTGTTTATGCCTCATATAAATGCAATTCATAAAATATAATTTTTTATGGCTCAATAATTTCTCTATAATACCTTCTCTTTCACGAATTGGTTCCATTTTACATTTTATATTCCACATTTTATCATAGATTTGATAGCATATTATCGTACTATTCATATTACATGAAATCTATACTACATGAATTGTGCATTTCCAAAATGTAAATGCCAAAATTTGAAAATATTACTTTTCATTCTAAAACACGTAGTAAATGTCATATCTTTCTATGACAATACAGTTTGTCCGGATAGTGGAGAGCCTTTTTTTTTTTTGCAATTTTTCTTTGAAAAATACGTTTTTTCTTGTTCCTGTAAAATTTTACTTTTTGGCAACGTTTTGGAAATGCAAAGATTCATGTATTTTACAATATTTTTGATGTGTTTATTTATTTTCCAATCAAAATATTTTTTATTTAATTTTTTTTTTTTTAAAACAATTCTTAAATTAAAAGTAAATTTAATTTATTCATTATTCAAAATAAAATATTATCTAACTCTGCAACAGATAAATTGTTAATAAAATATACAGGGTGTTCCATAAGCAGAGGGAAATATTTAAAAGGTTGATAGAATAAATCAAGATCTATAAAAAAGTTCATACAAACAATTGACCAATTTCCAGCAAAAAAAAGTGGGAAATTTAAGATTTTTTTGTAGTGTTAAAGTTGTGTAAAGAAATGAATTGTACTGTTAAGTATTTATCAGTGACAAACTTAATGTTTCTGTCTCTAATATTTACCTTTTCATGAAAATAATTGAAGCAATCAGTAGTTTTCTTTATTTTAAACATAAATATTACCAAGAAACATTAATTTTGTCACAGATAAATACTTATAAATTCCTATGATAGAGATCTGGGAGAAAAACAAAATTTCATAACCATTTTACATGAGAAATATTTGAAAAATTATTATTTTAAATTTTTTATTTTTATAAATAAAATGTTAGGCAATTATGTTTATTACAATACATCTCATTTCATTGAAAAAAAAAAAAAATAACAGCTTTGCAACAGTTCATTGTTGTCATTTTTGCAGAAAACAAGAGTACTTTTAGATGACACGATAGAGCATAATTTCTTTACACAACTTAAGGTGAATCTCAAAATTTTTCATAATAAATCTCAAGTTAATTAATATGGACTTAAGGCTTATTAAATGGAGAAGTTCTTCTAAAAGTGGGGTAAATGTAGTACAGTTGAATGATGCTAAAACAAAAATCACAAATAATTTATGACTAGCTGACCCGTACCAATATCCCGTACAAACCTTATATTTCTATCTGATTTTAATACATCAAGGGCTCAGCATAACTTCCATTCAATAATGTTTGATGTGCCAAGGATCAATACTTTCATTTTGTAAGTTATCAGTTATAAATATGATTTACAATTTGCCACGGTTTAACCATTGCATTTCCTTAAACTAATAATTTAAATATAAGCTTTTTTCTTAAAAAAAAAAAAAATCGAAAGTGTATTTTTACAATGATAAACATCAATAATAAAGATCTAAAAGAAAAAGCTAAAGTAATTGAAGCACATTGACAAACATTCTAAGAAATATTTTAAGGAAGACACATTTATATAATAAAATAACTAATTGATGCACTGCAAACTGTACCCCAGAAAAAAAGGGTCAATTCCAAAAATTTTAAATTTCCATTTGCAACAGAATTGTTGCAGTACAATAAATATTAAATGTACAGAATGCAATAACTCTGCACCAAATTGTCCGATTTCCATGATTTTTTAAAAATGTTTTGTAGGAAATTAAGTAAGCTTTCAAATATTCGTATGTATAATGTACTAAAAATTCCATACTTTTCGAGTTATTTGCAAATTATGAATTCATATGTAACGTCTAGTTTCGTTGAGACGGCACCATCATATGACTTGAAACCTCTCACTTTTACATTTACTTTTATTTAAGTCCTGGTATAAAAAAAAAGGAATCAAAATTATGATTCTACGTTATATTCCTTCTATTGATACCTCATTTGTCAAAATCCATCACTCCTGAGAGGCAGAAAAGGGATATATATTTCAGAAATAATATATAAGATTTTTTTCAAATGTAACTTAGCTCAATAGCCCTCTTTAAACAGATTTAACAAAAACAAACTCTAGTTTCGTTCATATTAAATTTTGTCTAGTCTAAAATGGAGCAATGTTTAATTACTTTAATCCAATATTTTGTAAGTTATCACTTCCTATTCAGCAAAAAATGTGACTCACAAAAAATAAAAATCTTAAATTTCCCACTATTTTGCTGGAAATCGGTCAATTATTTGTATGAACTTTTTTCTATAGATCTTGATTTCTTCTATCAACCTTTGGAATATTTCTCTTTACTTACAGGATAGATAAACTTCTTAGTATAAATACATCTTAGTACTGTTAAAACAAAAACAAAATGAACAAAAATCCTATAAATAAAGGAGTTTTTGACAAATTTTTAATTGATGAAAATGTAACAAAAATAACAATAATTCTTCCATCCAATCAATTAATAAAATTGAACAAACATAATAAAGTACAGACCTTAGACTCAAGATCGGCATAACGGTGAATATGGTCCCTACACTTGGCAAGCTGTTCTTTCGTCTTGGCTTCCGCAGCTTCTAAAGAATCAGCAAGTCTCTTGTTGTCTTCATCCTGTCTTCTTAGTTGATTAGTGCTAACCTGCACCTGAGTCTCTAGTTCCATCACCTATAAATAAATAAATAAAAATAAATTTAAGAAATAATAACAGAAAATGTAAGAATTTCGTTTTATGTTAATTTTATAAATATTTCTGAGTACCTTCAATTTTAACTCTTTCAATTCCATGGTGGCTTCCATTTCTTTCAACCTGGTAGTCATTAATTCTTCTTCTAGTCGTTGTATGTCACCGCTACGGCTTTCCCAGAAGAGTCCAAGTTTTTTCGGTGTTGAATCAGGAGGAGGTACTACTTCATTTCTATGATGATCCTAAAAAAAAGGTGAATAAAAAAATTAGATGAAAATATTTCTGACCTTACTCTATTATTATTTATAATAAAAGAATGGCATTATAAAAAAATTAAAAGTCTTTACTGAAATCAATAATTTAAGATTTGTATCTAATATATTAAAAAGATCAGAGATGACAATAACCTGAACATGCTTCTGCCATTGTGATTCAAGTTCAGTAAACTTTTGGCGAAGGTCCTTCAGACTGAGGTTAGCTTCTGCTTCTCGTAGTTTGACGGCAATGAGCTCTTCTTGAAGGTGAGCGACTGAATTATCAACAGTGCTTTCCCTCAATGTCTTTTTATCCTAAAAATGTTATAAATTATAAAAAAACAATAAAACATGAGATTCTTCAAAATAAAATATATTTTTAGCAAACCAATTTTTAATATGTTCATATTAATAAACATTTGGCAATATTTTTTAAAGTTTTCCTCAAATACCAGTCAATTCAAATTATCATTACAGGAATTATTCATTTTAAGTACTGAGTAGAACATCACTCACCTTAATTTAGGATGTCAATTTCAATATATTTTATGTTCTTCATGACTCTGAACTAACCGTTACATAGGCATATAGTTTCATCGAAAACAGTTCTGTAGTTTAAGAGAGAAAAACTTACAAAGGGCTAATAAATGAGGAATAAAAAACTAATTTCAAATGATTACCATCATTCTCTCAACTAAGGAACCTTTTTGATTGATATATTGCCAATTCAGGATAAAAAATGAATTAAGTAATATTTTATAAAATTGGGGAGTGGGGTAGCTCAGTGGTAGGGCACTGAGCTTCCAATGCAAAGGTCCTAGGTTCGAACCCTGGCTCATGGCAGAAAATTTATTTATCTGTTTCATTGGCTGTGGGGCGACCCTGGGTTGGGAGATCCTTCTGGGGGCACATCCAGCCTCTATAAAGTGGGTACCCTTAATTAAATAATAATTAAGGGGGAAAACCTGGCGGTTGAGCGTGATCTCGGTCCAATCACCTCCTTGCACAACCGTTGACCTAGAAACAGTCCTTTCCCTAAATAGTACTGAACCCAAGCCCTTCATGGGTTGTAGTACAGGTAGGTACAGGTTTATTATTTTTTTTATTTTATTTTTTTAAATTGAGTCTTTAAGGATTTCGATGAATTTGTCTTCTGTGAATCCAAAAATTATATTGTACACTTATAAATATTTTTAAAAAAGACAGTTTTTTTTTGGTTATTTTTATTGTGTATTTTCATATATTTTTTATCTGTATATTTTATTTATGAATTTATACACATATATATATAATTGTGTTATTTTTATTTTTATTGGGTTATATTTTTATATAAAACAGTGTTTTTGTCATCTTGCTGCATTTACTGTGTCTTAGCCTCAATAAATACGGTAAAAATGTACTTAAAAGTTAAACTCTATCAAAAATGTACTAAAAGACTTTTTTAATAAACTGACAATATATTTTCTTGATGTTGAGAGTTTCCTTCTATTCCAAAATGAAATAATTTTTGTTTAAATTATAAATTTAAGGAAATTATTTTTTTCGTCTAGTTCCTACCTAATTAGATTTTTATCAGAAAATTCTGTCAAATAAATAATAAAAAAAAAGCAACATATAAATGTTTACGTGTTGCTCTTAAACCTTTTGCAAAGATATGACTTCAATACATTGCTAATGCTGTCCTTTTTTTTCAAAATTCAAAATATGGAAGCTTGAAATATTTGTAAAATATTGATATAATATACAGGGTGTCTCCATCAATGGTCAAACTCTGGAGGGAGATCCTGTCATATCTCATATCTCTGTAATCCCAATCCATAAAATAATGAGGCATGATGGTAGACTTTGTGTTATATTTATATATTTTTCAATGTAAATTTTGTCGACTTTAAGATGTATATCTATCTTATTGTAACTACCTTTTTTTGTGTGTTTTTCTATTAGAAACACAGATTTCAGTTTTAAATCCACAAATCCCACTACTACCAACAATCCTTATCCAGCACTCTTAACTCCAAAGCTGCATGGGCAATGCTCCATAAATTATCCGTAGTTAAAACCCACCCATACCCAGACTACCTCTATTTCAGCTGACATACTCAACACTCATTTTGTCTCCTGTTCATTGTATCCCTCCGCCCAAGCACCAGCTCCACTCCTCATTAATTCCCCCTTTAATCTTAATCATTTTTTCTTTTTGGATATTATCCCTGATGACCTCCTTAAATCCATTTGTAAATCCCAAACCAAAGATTTCGGACCAGATAATATCCCAGTTAAATTAATTAAATCCTCACTTCCATCCATTTTCCTAATCCTTTATCATATCTATAATTTTTCACTACAAAGTTCCACTTTTTATTATTTATTTATTAAATAAATAAACTCTATACCGTCAGATATTTGACACGCAAAATCAATATCCTCTTTCAAATCTCTCCTCTTCAAACACCTACTCCACTTCCAATCCGATTGATCACGTAATGCACTTAAAAACCTAAGCTGCAAGAATCTCAAAGTACACCCAGATACTTTGATTAATTTGTGATTCACTGATATTTTGTTTACTTAACTTACTTTCTCAGTTTATTTTATATTTATAAACGTTTTTATATCTTATTATTATCTATAATTTTATTGTATTCCTAATCATCCTGCAAATATTTAATTTTATTTTATGGACACACCAGAATATTAATATATATTCTGTATTTGCAACTTCTATACAGAATTGTAGTTCTAAATTGACACTAGTCCCAGAATAATAAAATTATTTTCATTCATTCATTCATTTTAAGAATTTAATTATCTTGAACAGATTTTGAGCAATTCCTTTTTATCCAATAAAAAATGTGACCACCATAAGAAAAACAAAATTAGTCTTAACTCCTTTTCCGTTTGGAATCGGCTCATGCATCTTTGTTGGAAATGTTTTCTAGAATCACCATCCAGGAATCGCCTTTAAGAACTGAGGCACCCTGTATATTGATATAATCTTTCGATATTTACTTCCCTAAGCCTCAACCAAATGAGTTCTGAATGTCCTGTCAATACTCTGAAGATAATTAGATTAATAATAACTATGCTGAATTCCTTTTTGAAATGATCTTTTAGTAAATTTATACAAGATACTGTTCTAATAGTCTATTAATAACTTCCAAATGGACATTATTAGTTATTCAGATATATTTACTGAACAAGTAGAGATCATACATCAGAAAGTGCCCTTGGTACTATGTTTTGAATGATAAAAAAAAATTATAAACAAATAACAGTTGTTAATCTTTACACATACGTCGTCTATATATAAGTTCAAGTCACTCACTTGCTCAAGGTCTTGAATTTTACTCCGCAAATCCCTTATTAAAGCTTCATTTTCTGCTTCTCTCAATCGAACTTTAAAGAGCTCTTCTTGAAGGCAAGACACCATCTCTTCCTTTTGTGTCAGTTCTTCTTTCTTCGCAGTAATCTCGTCAAGTGAAGACTGACAAGAGTTGTGCTGTGATAAAAATTATAGAGGGTCAACTTCATAGCTAGACCAAAATTTAATCTTGTATGACCATGATACTTGATATAAATAGAGCAAACACTAATAATAGATGCAAAAAAAAAATGAAATAAATTTTACATAACATACATTTTGTTCAAGTATAACTGAGAGATTTTTAATCTCTTCGTGTGCAATTTCCAGTTGATGAGTTGTGTGCAGATGAGTCATCCTGAGTGCTTGGAGCTCACGCTGTACAGCAAAGGTCGTTTCTTCTTCTTCAGCACGAGAGACTTGACCCCTCACCAACCTGTGTGCTAGTTCTGAGCTTTCAGCTTCCAGAAGTTCAACCCTTTGCCTCAAAAGCCGATTCTCTTGTCTCAACCTCTGAATAGAAAACAAAATCATATAATACCTTTTTAATATAAAATATAAATCTGATTATGATAAATAGTTTATATAAATTTTGTAACCATAATTTCCCTTCTGTCACCCACACAAAATTTACATTTAGGACTCGTAGATTTATACAAAGAACCTTCTATAAGCGGGTAATGTTGCCCTCATAGGTGATTCAAAGATGGAACTAGAGCAAGCACTAGTGGAATGGGAAGAAGAGCTGCTAAGGAAAGGTATGTGAATTAATGCTTCCAAGAATAAAGTGCTGTTATCGTAAGAGAAGAACAGTAAGACATCCAATTGGTCTGTTACTGAGGTTCTTGAGGTGGTGAAGGAATACATCTACTTAGGGACTGTAATTAGCAACTCCTGTAAGCTAGATGCTGAGATTTCAAACAGAATATCCAAGGCATACTACCAGATCACTAACAGTATCCTCAGCCACCATCAAGTGGATAAGAAGACCAAGATGCACATATATGCATCTACCTACCTACCTATTCTCATCTATGACAGAGACAGCTGGACCATGTCAGACAGACATTATGGTCGCATAACAGCAGCATGAAATGAGGTTCCTATGTAGATTGGTGAGGAAAACGAAGAAGGATTGCATTAGCAATGAAAGTATAAGAGAGCCAGCTGGAAGTACCAGAACTAAAAACCACTTTGGATAACAGACAACTCAAATGGTTTGGAGATGTCTGCCACATGAACAAGGACATGAACCCCACAAAGGTATTTGAGACCCAACCCATAACAAAGAGACCACGAGGGCGCCTTAAAGTTTCATATCAGGAATTCATGCAGATTTAATATTTTTTTTTATTTCATGTAGGCATTATAGACCACGTAGATTTTTTGCCCCCTTAACAAGCCTGCTCCATCTCTCCCTGTCTTGGGCTATTTCTTTCCATTTATCTGCATCTCTGTTGATCTTCTTTTTGGCCTTCCACGTTGTCTTAATATTTAATAAGAATAAAAATTAATATTTATTATTTTATTTTTACCTTCAGTTCTACCATGTCCTCTTGTTCTTTGGTCTTCATAACAGTGTATTCCTTTTTCAATTTCTGCATACGCTTAGCATTAAATTTAACACCGTAAGCAAGATTCATGAGAGCTTCTGGGTCAGCATCAGCTCGAACTGGAAGATCTTTTTGAAAAAACTGAAAAATAAAAATCAATATTGAAAGTAAGGTGTAATGAAGATATTCCTATTTATCTGAATTTATTTGTAGTAAAATAATAAAAATTTAAACAAATTTTCAAGTTATAAAGTTGTCATTTAACCTCGAATTAAAATGTTCGTTAAATAACATTTTTATAAATATATACCTTTAACATTCCTTCCATATCAAGAGACAAAAGATCATCTTTTCCCATTGTAAGGAGAGCAAGAGCTACTTTGAAGATGATGTCCATTCCTTCAGACAAGAAAACATCGATGATACGACAAGCTGTAGGAAGTGCAAGAGCCGTCGTGAACAGGGTGAGGAACCAGGATGAAGCGTACATGCTCGTATGAAAACTTTGAGAGTTGAAGTGATTGTGTAGATCAGGCATCAACTCCTGTGTAAAATAAAACCAAAATCATGTTAATAATAATTCATGACGAAAATGTTTCAAATTTCTCAAGGGTAAAGTAGTTTACTTTAAATGATTTAGATTGTGTTGAAATCTACTAATTCAAATATATATATGAATATATAAATTGTTCCTAACTACTGAGAAAAAAAAAAAAAAATCAGTAGAAAAACTGAGAGCTAAACTTAAGTTTTTGTTTTTCATTTTTCAACAGATAAGTACACTTTACATATCTTACAAGAAAAGAATTAAGATACAAAATAGGATTTTGTTTAAAATCTTAAATTCCCCCCCCCTAAAAAAAGGAAAAAGTTCAAAGAGGATGATAAATAACCAGGATGTGCCCTCATTTAAGTAGTTTGCCGATGTTGTGACGCAAGCATGTCGGTGACCATCAGAGCAATGGTTGCTGGCTAGACAAGAACTCCTTAGTTATATTCATAACAATCAAGGCTCAGGTAATTACAAATGGTATTTCTAATATCATTATAAACATGATAAATTTTAAAAATACTTTAACTTTAATCAAATAATTAATTTAAATATTATAAAAAAGTAAAATAATACTTATAGATAATGAATAATTTTTACAATCAATAAAACATACCTGGACTAGATTCTCAAGCTGATACATGCAGAGCCCCAGCTCAGCCATTGTAGGTTTGAACATGTCCCGCATCCTGTAATCCTTCATCAACTTCACGAAAACAGCAAACGCTTCCTCTTCCGGCATCTGCTTCAGGAAGTAATACACTACAATAACCCTTCATTGCCCATATTGTTCCCGACCACCATTGAGAATTAAAAGCAGTTTTATTTTTTAAAGAGCTTGAGATAATTTTAAAATTATGGAAAAATGTTTACATGCTGTTAGTGCTACATCTATCTGGCATATCACATAAAATATCCGGTTTCAGAGAGGCATTAATTAAACAAAGCTTTAATATATCAAGAAAAATAGTAGATATTGATTCTTTTGATGTTTTTTCAGATGCCAATTAATAATAATATATATATATATATATATATATATATATATATATATATGTTTTTTTTTTTTAATAAACAATAAATCTGTTAATAGGAAATCCATGCCAATAAATAACTATTACCCATTGTTATTTCATTTAAAAATTGATCTTACTACAGACTATTGATATCACCAGATAAACATTTATTCACTTGAAAGTAAAAGATTTTAAGGATACATGCTTAAAATATTAAATTGATTTTAATACAATTTAGCTATATCTAAAGCACTTTAAGATACAGTTTATTTCATTACCAACATCAAGAGAAGACCAACAATAAATCCTGACCCCTGGCAATAGCCGACCTCCCTGTCATGGAGGGAATAAGCTTTCATAACATTGAAAAGGCTTTCTTGACCGACTCCATCTTTTTCTTTAAACATGTCATGCTCAGGGTAGGTTCGAGCTATATCTCGCCTTATCACCTAAAATGAATTATGAAAATATTATTATGGGAAATAAATTATTTTGATTTCTTTAAATACATGTTAAATTTAAAAAATCATAAAATTCACAAGCTCAATAAAATTTAGTTTCTTTTTTTTAAAATGTTTTTACAGCTATTAATTTCCCCTAACAATTAATTTATAAAAAAAAAAAAAGTCAGAGATATATCGATAGAAACATCATGAAAAAATTTTGATACATAAACACGTTAAACCAAATATTTTTATGATACCCATATTTCTGTTGAGATAAATTTGCTATCTACCAATGTATTAAGTAAATATGATATCATTGATATTTGATAACAAGGAGAACAGAAAAAAAAAACAAAAACAAGAAAGAATATGAATAATACAGAACAAAGAGAGAGAAAACACAGCAAGTAACTCAATGCTGTAAGTTTCTTGGCCAGCGCCTCAGCAGACTTCTGGGGGATCATATGGATTTGTGGCCATAAATAAAGCTTGAGTAACTGGATTTGAATTTAGAGTCAGCCTGTTATGAAAATTATTAAAATGGTCTGAGGCAGTTGCTGTCATAAAAGAAATATCAAGGTCAGTGCGTAAGGTAAAATTAGAAACATAAAAGTAGGTATCTACAATTTTACGGAAAACTTTTGACAGGAACAGTGAATTATTTTTATATCTGATATCTTCGCTGCTCCCCATAGCTCGATACCCTAGGTCTAAAATAATTTAGTGAGAACTTTGTAAATAGTTAATTTATTAGTCAAACCAACAAATTTTGATATTCTTGATTTACCATTCTAAATTTTTTTGAAAAAAAGATTTACTAATCAAAAATCTATATTTTTTCTATTAATACTACAATATAATAGTTAGTATTTTTGTACCTTTTCACAGGCGGAAGTGGCTTTGATATATTCTGCAAACTGGTCCTTTTCAGGAGAATTGTGTGCATCACAAAGGAGCTGCCACACAATCCCTCTGAAATGATGTGGGATTCCTTTCCTGACCATCTCCTAAACGGACCATTTAAACTGTATTACTTATATTTCCAAGGATAACCAACAGATGCATTAAGTAAATACTGCTTGTCCTGACCTTGATATATGATGTCTTTTTCTTGTAGGAATCCCAATCATTGGCGATTCGTCCCCAAGTAGTCCAGGAATCTTCATCTCCATCATCACATTTCTCCCTCTCCTGGGACAAACTTGTCCCTGAAAAAATTAATAAATGAACAATAAAAATCTGAAGATATGAACACATTAATTTTTTTTTAAGAAAACCACACAAAAATTTTATATTACATTCAAGCAAAAAAATCAAGCTAACTTATTTTTTTACAGATTTTAGTAGCAGCAAAGCAGTTATTCGTTATATTTATATTATAATTCTTAAATGTAAAAAAATTATTTCATTGATTAATTATTATTTGTTTTTAGTTTGAAAAATAAACACTTATAGTTTGGATTATTTTTTGTTCAATATTTTTACAGTCCATTAAATTATAATTTTTTAAAAATTTTTATTTTATTTTTTCAAATACCCTTTGAACTTCATTCTTGGTATACACTTAATACATTGAGGGAGCTTAACACTTCTTATCTATTAGTAATTTGACCTTAAAGTTTATTTAAATTAAAATTGATTTTCCATCAATTATTAAGCTAAAGTGTAAGCAAATAGATAGTTTTCCATTAAATTGTGAAAAAACAAAAATTAAGATAAAAAAATCAGAGTTATCAAGTCAGGCCATCCACAATTGCTACCTCTATTCATTAATCGCTGAAATAATCATTTTTTTATTTTACTTTCTTCACACTAATCAACCGCATAATTAAATTTTTTAAAGCATTAATTACTTTTGCTGAAATATTTTAGTAAAATAAGCATTATACAAATAATCTTCATATTATAATATATGTCACTGCAAAACTTTTGCAATTTTGGTATTACTGTTTTATTTAAAATGATGGAATAGTTTTCTTGAGTTCAATTTAGGGCTTAGGAAATAAAACTTGATATTTTACAATGATTATGGGAAAGAAATTTTAAGCATTATAGACAAAAATGATTTTATTAAAAAAAATGTAAATGATCAAACTTGTTTTAAAAGAAATTTTTTAACAATCTTAAAATACAAATATTAAATGAGGTCTTGAACAGAATGTGTTTAATGATTATTGTAGTTTCTCTGATTTACTCCACTTCAGTGGAGGCTGACGGAAAGACGCGGAAGATCTGGATTTTGCGGATGACTTATGTTATTTCTCTCAAAGTTTCAGAGACATGCAGGAGAAGCTAAATGAACTCCAAGAGAAAGCTTGAAGTGAATAGAAGGAGTCAAGAAAATCTTAAAAGAAAAGAAGACCAAACAATAGAAAGGGTTACTAAATTCTGCTACCTTGGGAGTATGGTGAGCTAGGATGAAGGGACTGATGAAAATGTTGCGAGTCGTACAAGGAAAGCCCAAAAAGCATTCTCGCAGTTTCGGTAAGTGTGGAAATCCCAGAAAATCTGGAGGGGGACCAAACTTTGCATCTTCAAAACAAATGTCATGTTGGTACTGATGTATTCTTGCGAGACTTGGAAAGTTACCAAGCAGGTAAACAAGAGGCTACAGATATTCGTCAATAAATGTCTGCAGAATATATTGCAAGTATGGCGGACTGAAACAATTTCTAATGCCGAGCTCTGGACCCAAACTAACCAAGCCGCGATGGATCAAGCCATTACACGTCACAAATGGAGATGGCTTGGGCACACGCTTAGAAAGCAACACAGTGATATAACATGACAGACCTGGTCTGGAGTCAAGGAGCTGGCTAAGGGTCGAGATGCCTGGCAGAACTTTGCAGCGGCCATATGTCCCACCTAAGGAATTCTAGGAACTAATAATAATAATAATTTTACTGGTACAGAGTACAGATATTGGTTGTGGAAACTATTGAGCAAGTTTAAAAGAATAAATATTCCTAAACATATTTTTTCTCTCTAATATAATTAAATAAATTAACCATCAGCAAACATTTAAATACAGTAATATTTAAATAACAAATTATAAAAATGGAGTATATTAGCCATTTTATAAACTTGAGAGTTGCTGCAGTGAAAAATCAAAACTGATCGTGTTGAGTGCATGAGGCTAAACATAATTTAGACTTTAACAAGGTATCTATGAATGACAGTAATGCAGTGTTCTTTAGTGAATAATTTATTAAAAATACTAATATTAATATGTGATTACCTAAAATACATGTGATCAGCAATATGAATATATAAATTATAAAAAATAAAATATCATTTAATGATTCATGCTCAGGAGGTGATGTTTGTGTTTAATTAAATAAATGATAAAGCAAACGAAGAGTTGGTCATTATAATCTTGATCTTTGTTAAGCGTGCAGAATGTTTGGATTCATCTAATTGTGTACCTTGGATATCTACTTCACTAAATGTATCGTCATGAGTAGCACGATGATAGTTCCACATCTTTATAAAGGTTATTCTGATTCAAAGTTATTTTAATAACAGATAAGAATTGAGATTTTTTGGTCACCCCAAACCAAACCTATCTGACAAAAAACACATTGGAACAAAGATTGTAAATTTACCTTTCCTGATTAAAAAGTGTATTATTTTTAAACAAGAGATATACAAGAAATGTTAAAAATTGGTTCATTTTACAACAATGGAAAATCACATTTATAATGTCATTGATGGTGTAGAATACTGAAATAATAAGGATTTAACTTAATCCACCCATACTAGTAACATGTTTCTCCGTACTATTCAAATTATCAAACATAATTAATATATATATATATATATATATATATATATATATATATATATATGTATGTATAAAATTTTTTGATTAAAATTTCATTATTAGAAATAATAATAAAACACTTATTAGATTCCAATAAGTCCTACTTTATTTAATATCTTTACACTAACGTTTCAACCATCAGGTCATTTTAAACGAAAAATATATTTTAAAATAAAATAAAATTCATCTGGGATGAATTGTCCTATATAATGACAATAGTTTATGTTGCAATTCAGCCCATGTAAATTTTATTTTAAAATAGGTTTCTTCCCTTGAAAATAGCCTAAGAGCTGAAACTGTGTAAAGGAATTAAATAAAATAGAACTATTGGAATCTAATAAGTATTTTTATTATCAAACAAAAATTTTTCAGAATTCCATAAAGTCGTTACAAGATTTGATGATTACACAGCAGTTTGTACTCATTTATAATCAGTATGGGACTGAACAAAAAAAAAAAAAAAATTAAGAGCTGCGACGACTGAGCGGGTTGAAGCACTTGCAATAGATAATCAATATTAGGCAGCATTGAGTGTTTTAAGACTAGCATGATTGATCATCCGAATGGAGTGATCATCTACTGGAGAAAACCATGCTGCATGAGATTCCTCCATGGTATTTGAGGCCTGTCAGCTTATCAGAGACAACTCACACCAACAGGGCATAGGAGTGTTAAATCTACCATGGTATTCGGAATCCCAATGTGGTTTTCCAGAATGTAAGTAGCCCCCAGAGGCTTGGCCCACGGATGGACCAATTCAGGGAAAGAAATTTAGATCCTCATGCACCTGCTTTGCCACTGTCCTTAAACCGGAATAGGTGGGAAGGATATTGTCAGATTGACTCCAAAGAGATCGGCCATAGAGTTATTGATGGCTTGCCATTCCACCATAGAGACTATGGTCTGCAGCACTATGAAAATGGGTGCCCCCTTTCCCCCCCCCCAGGGTATTTGCTTCCGCAAGTAAAATAACCTTTATAAAGTAATTTTAAAAAAAGTAAAAGTAACCTTTATTTATTTTTTTTAATTGGCTACTTAATTTTCTAAAAGTCTGAATTGGTAATGTTCCCTGCCAAACTAGTTTTACAATGTTCCTTGAAGTGCTCGTTGGATCTCGAGTTCATTCAATGCATCATTTATTTTACAGTACATATAAAAACTGTGGTATTTATGAATAGGAGTATGACACATGTAGGTATGTTCGGTGTATTTATCACAAACATTGTTATTGCACCTGTAACAAATGTTAATAAGCTGTAAAACTAATGAAGTGAACTCAAATACTGTAAATAAAGTTTAATGATAAATGTTAGCTTATAATTGGAAAATATCCAACCAAACAGCTTTATGTCTCCAAAATGCAGTCAAAGAAAAAAAAACCCATCAAAATTTCGCTAACTCAGGCGTCTTCAGGACAGAAGAGAAAAGCAAGTCGAACATCACTCCATAATACTAAGTTGTATACTGACTAATATGCCAATTGTATGTAGTAAGAGCAAAAAAAAAAAAATAACCAAAGAGAAAAGCAAGTCAAACATCACTCCATGACACTCAATTGCATACTAGGTATGTGATTGGGTGTCATGGAATGATGTTTGACTTACTCTTCTCTTCTATTCTGATGACGCCTGAATTGGCAAAATGTTGAGTTTTTTTTTCTCTTTGAATGCATTTTAAAGACATAAGGCTGTGTGTTATAATTTTTTCTACTATAACCTAACATTAAAGTTATGTCTCTTGGTATTTTTTTTACTGGTTTATGTTAATGATAAAATAAATCAATTTTACGATGAAACAGAAATGAAGGAATAAACTATAAACCCAGCTTTAAAAAATAAACTAAGATTACGAAAAAAATCCAGATCATGAATTATTTCTGTGTCAAGTGTTTGAGCCAGTTAATGTATTCAAGAAAATCAAATATGATTAAACACATTATACAACTATTTATAAAAAATTAATAAATAAGTTAACCATTAAGGTATTGCTTATTGTTTCACTGATCTGGTTGAGGGTTATAATAAAAAATCTCTTTAATCATCAAGGTCATTATATAATAATAGATTGTTTTGGTATCATAGGAGCGCATTATCAATGTGATATTAGCTTATATGCTAATACATCTGATATGAAAAAGCTTTAGCAGAATATATTAAAGTGAAAAGAATTTCCTAATATTTAAAAAGAACTGAGGATATTAGAATTGTATACAGTAACAATAATACAAATCAGAGCACGATATACAGATCTGGGTAGTGATCTCAGTGCAGGAAGATCTACAAACGGAATTATTTGTTTGTTTACAGCAGGTGCTCTATCTTCATCTAGTCAAATATGGTATTATGTGGAGTGTTCACAACCAAAATGGAACTTATGTAAGGACGCTGTGAAAGAAATGGTTTGCTTAAAATGTTTATTGAAGAAACTGCTAATCCTGGATGATGTAGCAAAAGATTCCTTCTCTTCATTTTGACACAAGGTCTATATCAATATCTATCGAAGAACATGCGACGATGAATCAGAAATTAGAAAAAAAAAACTATTTTATCTTATTATACTTCTGTTGTTGTAGCTCTCTAATATCAATAGGATTTCAACTCACCATTACAATTTGTTTCCCACAACAACCTAGTTATTCTTCCCAGATCTCTTTTTTAAACTCCATTAGGCAATTAATTGACAAGTAAATCTTCTATCTATTGAATGGATATTCAAAGAATAAATGTTGATTTACCTCGTTTATACCCTCAGTACCCCAATAAAAACAAAAGAATTAACTGTAGGAGAAGATAGTTGGGGGTGTGGCCAAAGATGTAAGTACACATAAATAAAAAACTTTTATCAAAGTTAAAGCTAAAACTATTTGATCTATAGTAAATAACATTTCAATCCTTATAATACAGCAATTAGGTCCTTCTCTTTTGAATCAAGAGTTTAGTTGCTAATGATGCTATTCTTAAAATACTTTCCTGCAGATAAATAAATATTTGTAGACCTACTTTTTATTTTTTAATAATTCCTCGATTATCTTAATTCTACTAACTTTTAAGCTCTAATTTTGGGTCGCTAAGCATTTCATATAGAGGATTTTTCTTTCAAATCTCGTGATTCTGTCTTTTTAGATGCCTGCTAGTGACAATGGCTTCCTAATGAAACTTGGGACAGCTTTTGTTATGGTACAATTAAAAAGGTTAAATTTGAACAATTTTATGAATATAAGTAAGCAAGGGGGGAGGGGGTAGGGAGGGAGAGGTGGAAAAAGCTTCTTTTTTTTAATTGTAAATATTGTTATGAATAGGTTTATCTCAGTAGGTTATTCATTTTTTGAGGTTATATCAGAGCTGAGTTTAAGCAAACAAATACAATAACATAAAACTAAAACAAGGATGTCTGAATTAATTAATTCCAATATCTAAAAGTAAGCAGTTTGTTTTCCAAGAACATCAAAATCACAATTACATACATTTCTCTATCATCTCATGAATTCATGAATGTATAAATATAATAGGGAGCAGTTGGTTTCCACAGATGAATTTGCATTTAAGAAAATCAATATAAGCTTAATTGGTTCATTATTCATTTAAATTTCATGTACAACAAATTCTTTAAAATAAATTTGGTAATTTTACTTGTCACATAAACTAATTGAGAAAAATAATTAATAATGTATAAGTGATAATTATTTTTGATACTATTATTAATAATTACATTGACAAAACTTTTAATAAACAAGAGCTATAAAAGCAAAATAAAATTGCCTTAACTTAGGTTAAAAATGTAGGTCAATTTGAAATAAACATGTTTTTAAAAGGTATTTCTTATAAATTAAGTGAACACATATTAAAATTAGTAATAAAGGAAAAACAAATGTCTAGCAAGAATGATAACATAGATATATACAAATATGTCAATGATTATGTAAGTAAATTTCATGTTTTTGCTAAAATTTAATGATAATAAAAATTATTATAACCTATTCATTCTAATAAAATATATTAAATTTTGATTTAATAGAAACATACGGGAAGAATTTTTTTCTAATATGTCATCCCAAAAGGCAATGGAATTCTTCCAATGATCAGAGGTATCAAACATCATTTTGTAGTTATTTCACTAAAAACTGGTTTAAAATTCACAAAAGGTAGCATTCATGGATAAGATAATTAGTTGTGAAGTAGCCCTTAGTAGATAAGAAATGAGTCAGAGTATTAAACCTTTCTTAAGAGTGTCATTGACACAGCACAATACATTTACAAATGAAAATGCATATATGTAATCTATGTTTAATTATGCACAATTTTTCTAATGTAAAATAATTAACATGAATGAAATAACGAACCCATTCACATAGCTTCGAAGTTAATGATTCATCTCATAAATATGAGCTTTGATTCTATAAAATATGTGTGTTTAAAACATAATGGTTAAACTACTTTTTGTTTTTCAAACATTATTCTAAAAATATTTAAAAATCTAAATTAAATGAGTTGGTTGATAGAAGTTAAATTATCTAAAAAGCTTTTTTTAAAAGTTATATTTCAATATATTTATTTAAAACTTCACATGTGTTATATTTTACTATTACTGCAGTTAAATTCACGAATTAAAAAAAAGAAAATCTGATGCGGGCATTACACAACTTTCACTTACCTCTCTGCTTTGAATAGAAATTATTTTCTGACAATCTTGAGCAATTATAAAAAATTTGAAGTGCACCTTCAATGGAGCTCTAGCTTAAAGCTTACAGCTAACAAATCATCAAGACTACTAAAATAACAAAAACCTATTAATTATATCAATGGTAGACAATAAAAATCTTGGTAGTCCATTTGTGCTAATTATATCCGCTTACTAAAATGAAATTACAAGATTTTCATTGCCTGCCATAGACAGGTGAAAAGATGTCAGTAATTTTAAGTGGACAATGTTTGGATTTCACAAGGGGAAATTCATCATGTTATTCACTAATTTAATTTTATAAAAGGTTACATGATTTTTTGGAATAAACGGACATTGATATCTAATTATTTAAATACAATTTAAGATCTAGAATTATTAAACTACAGTAAATCTTATACAGGTTATAAACATATGTTTTATACATTCATGAAATATTTTTATATTTCACACAAGTACAATGAAATAGTTTTTTAAACAATGCCATTGCCTTGATTAGGTGGATTTTAAAAGATTTTTTTCAAACTTGAAGAAAGTTTACATTTAGTTAGTAAATTTCATTTCATTTCCCTCAAAACATCTGATTTCCTTTAAATAATATTAGTTTTTACAAATTATTAATTATAATGTTTCGTCACTCTCCATTACTTTCTATATTAGATATTGTTTTTTTTTTTAAATTCTCTGCTTTCCAACGATATATTTTACGTATACCTTCTGAATAGTATTTCCGGAAATTCATTTTCGGCCTAAATTATCATTTTCCCTTTTTTTATCCATTTTTCAATTATCAAATCCTTTCAAAAGTTATATTGAGCATTTTTTTTGTAACTTTTAATAATAAGAGATAGTTAATTATTCAAAATAATACAAATTAAAGATACTTAATTTTAAGATTAAAGAGGAAGATATGTTGAACACATATGCATTTAAGCCGTGTAAAGTGACATCAATGGGAATAAGACCTCAATGATATTATAGACCACTAAATTATACAAAGATACAACGAGTTTAATCAAAATCGTGGAGCCGTTTTTGAGAAAAATGTGTTTCAACGTTGATATAAATTGGCACTTCTGGTTAGCCAATTTTTACGAAAAAGTTGCTGTCACAATGAAGGCATATACCTATCTAAAATACGTAATATTTGCAATAAATTATCGATATATTAAATTAAGCAATAAGAATGCATTTTTAACTAAATCACTAAAATTAGGATTTAATATGTTTCATAACCATCCCCAAACATTTTTGTAAATGAAAAAAATTTTTAATGAAGATTATGGTTTAGATGTTCTAAAAGTTAAACATATCTAAAAGAATGACATAATTAGCTTAGTATTCTTCAGCAGAATTTAATTACCTATAAGAGGATTTATCACATTCTCTTAATTTAAAAATAACAAATGACCGATTTTGATGTTTAAATTATTAAACATGGCGAAAAATAATAAACTGTGGTCCCTTAGTAACAGCTGTTACCAAATGTTCATTAAAAAACTAGTGTTTAATATTTGATAATACATAATATTGATAATATTTAGAATGAATTATTATTTATAAAATAAAATGTATAATTTTTTTTTCATTTTTAGTACTTTACCAAAGTTATATAACATAACATAAAAAGAAATAGAAAAATAAAATAGACTAAAAAAGTTATAGTGATTTTTAAATAAAATGATACTCTATGATGACATACTGTTTTTCTAAAGAAGCAGATTAGTGAAAAACTAAATCTAATGTACTTATTTTGTGATGACCTACCTTTTAAGGTAGTCTTAAACGAAAACTAAACACAAATTTGACAAGAAATAACTACGGTTATGACAATAAAACATTATTTATTAAATAATCAACAATGCAAATAGACATAATATGAAAAAATAAATATTAAAAACTTACCAGAGGTGAGGGAGATTTGAGATGTATCCGAACTTTTTCTTGAGTGTCCACTATTATTAGATATCGAGTTTAAGCTTTTGGCATCAGCCTCGATAAGTCTAAACAAATAGAAAAAAAAAATCACTGTACTATATTTATTTTACAAGACAGCGTGATTTTTAAAATAAATGTATACAGAAAAGCTAATTATATTTAAAAATGTAAACGTGTAAAAAGAAAGTCGTAATATTAAGAACATACCCTTTGTAAAAATGTACTTTTTCAGTAAAGTCCATACCTAATAAGCATGATATAATTATATCTTTTTTTGTTATCTTTTGTCCAATTAATTTGAACATTTTCTTACCCATTTTTAAACAAATATTTTTTTTTTTTTTTACTAACTCATAAAGTGAGAAAATATTATCACAGCAAGATTATTATATTCACCCTACACCATATTGAGAAACTAAGATTTAAAGAAATTGATTGTAACTACATAAACATGCTAGAATATTTACTTAAGTGTTCACATAGACAATGTGATGTTACTACCAACACAGCAAATATGCAAATATAAATTTAAAAGTTATGAAATTTTAAAGATTTAATACGGCACTTCTGTCTTTAAAATCTTTTAAAGTAAAATAATTATTTTAATAGAGTTTGAATTTAAATAAAATTATTTGTTATATTTTATACAAGAAATCTGAAAGAAATACCAGTATGAAACTTTGAGTCTATAAAGAAAAATCTTATCAGTAAAACAGCATGAATAAACATGCAAATTGATTAAGATTTGTAAGAGAAAGCAGATAAACCAACTGATTTATCAGAAAACAATCCATTGTGACTCAGATGTCATGAAATAAACTGTTATTTTTTTTGTTATTCGCAAGTAAATATCTTACTTATGTTTATTATTTAATGACATTTAGAAAAAAATGTGTAGTTATGCTTCATGGAAATAAAAAGCGATTCCTAATACAATAGAAAATTATTGTACCTACTATACAAATATTGTATAAAGTAAATATTATAGCAATACTGATAAAATCAAGGTAAAAGTTATGTAATTTTTGTTTTCAATAAATGTATAATGAAAACGTTTTTGATAGCAATTTAAAAAATAAAAATGAATTCAACTCAAAATAAAAATCATTGAAAATAATTAAACATTGCATCCTCCTTTTATTTATTACATCAATTGTTATTTAAATATCTAAAGATATATTTTAGATAAGGTGGGAGGATATTCTAGATAAAAGAAGTGGATATCTTAGATGAGAGAAGCTGAATGCAGATAAAACTAAGGCTATTCTCATCGGGTCCAGACATCTCATTAGTTCCCTTTCCTCTACTTTACCTCAATACCCCTACTTTACGCCCAATCTATTTTTCCCTACAATCAAAAACCTAGAACTAATCTTTAACCAGAACCTCTTCTGGAATAACCATATTTCCAAGATTACCAGAAAATCCATTTCTGTCCTTAAATAACTCCTAAGATTCTGTGATTGTATTCCTCTAAAAACCAAATACCCCTACTTTACGCCCAATCTATTTTTCCCTACAATCAAAAACCTAGAAATAATCTTTAACCAGAACCTTTTCTGGAATAACCATATCTCCCAGATTACCAGAAAATCCATTTCTGTCCTTAAATAACTCCTAAGATTCTGTGATTGTATTCCTCTAAAAACCAGACAGCTCCTTATAACCTCCCTTAAATTCCTTCACTTCGACTATGGCTGCTTGATGTATGGAGGGCTATCTGCCAGGCTAGAAATGAGATTAAAGAAACTCGTGAACTGTTTCTCAAGATACATCTTTGGGATCCCCAAGCGTTCTCATGTTGCATTCTGGAACATCCTGGGACCATTTGTGAGGATGAAATTTAGAAGCTTATAAAAAATAGGGATCTGTATAATAAATACATGGGCCTGAATATCTCAGGCAGCATCAGAATCCAAAGATTGAAGGGATCACCAGAAGAAAGAGAAATAGAAGGAGGGTGAAGGGCCACTGGAGTGATAGTGTACTCCAAGATATACAGCAGTTGAAAATGAGAAAAGTCCATGTAATGGATAGAGAGAAGTGGAAGGCAGAGGTTGAAAAAGCCAAGCGATGTTGAGCTAAGCAATGAAGAAGAAGATGTATTAATCCTTCTTCAAGGAGCTGAGAGCTGGGTTCTGGCTGAAAAATTATAGAGCCAGTTTACAGCAGCTGAGATGGGGTTTCTAAGAAAGATAACAAGAAAAATAAGAGGATATTTCATCTCAAACGAGAGGACCAGAGAAGAACTAAGGATATGCCCTATCCAGAAAGTAATATAAACAAACAGCTGAGGTTGTTTGGAAGCATGGCTGTATGGAACACCAATGGGAGTCTATCAAAATGATGGAGACGAAACCACTGAGCATGAAGCCCAGAGATAGAATCCGGAATTCCTACTTGGATCACAAGGAAGGCATTGGTAGACAACGACAAATTAATTCTGATGCGATGAGGACCATGGTAAGGGACCACGACACCTGACGGTCTAGATGATGGAGACATCTCCACGCTGAGAGAGAAGTGGTGTTAGAGAATGAAGAAGAAGTAAAATAATAAAAAAGACAGGATTTTAGCCGATAGAAAAAAATTTAATACCACTAATACCAAATATCCAAATAAAAAATTATATAAAACTTTAAAATGGATTATTATAAGAGGTCTCTTAATTCTTCATTTTGATTTAATAATAATACTTTATTTATTCTGGGCGAGTCCCTTTAGAATAATACAGGAAGACAGAAATGTGGGCTAAGGAGCCTCAGAGATATATAAATAAAAATACAGAGTAATTGAACAGTCTCGGTGAAAAGAAAAAAAAAAATATATACACACACACACACACACACACACACACACATATACACATATACATACAAGTTGCTTCCTAATTTTGATCGGTTGATAATAAAAGAATAGGAGTAAAAATAATGAAGAACGAACTAATAATTTATGTACATATTTATAGTAGTATCTATTTACAATTTTATGGCAACTGGATGGATAAGAAATGATTGGAAAGGTGGGATTTAAAGGTAGGAAGGGTATTGGATTGACGGATGTGGGAAGGGATAAAGAGGGATGGAGTTCCTTAGGGTGAGAATTGGATAATGAACGATTTGTCTAAAGCAGCGGTTCGGTGGGCCCTTATGTATAATCTGAAGACCGGGAACGAGTATTGCGGGTACGAATTTGAATTGAATTGGGGGATTTGCATTGAAGGAGCTCGGAGATGTATGAGGGACGGTGGGATTGGATGACTTGAAAGAGGAAGGATGCCAAGAAATACTTACGTCGATAGGAAGGATAAAGCCACTTTAACTCTACATAAAAACTGGAAACAGAGGCGTCCCTTGGGATCCCGAAGATGAATCGTACAAAGCAATTTATCAAACGTTTTAGTTTCGCCTCGAGATCCCCAGAGAGGCCCCCATATACCGCACAGTAATAGTCAAAGTGATTTAGGTATAATATTTTATTTGAATAATGAAGATTAGAAACTTTTAGTCTGGGGACTTAAGTTTCTCTGAAACCTGTGAAAATCACTGATATTTAATACAAAAAGAGGAGGTAAAAAGAGATTTAAACAGATAATAAAAGAACTCATGTGAATATAAAAATGAATTATGATATGTTAATATAAAAGTTTCATAAGTTTCAAACCTGTTAGCTTCCTCCAGTTTTGCTAAAAGCGCCAGTTCTTCGGGTGATGCTTGGCTTGGGGTAGTTGCGAGGGGAGATTCTTCACTATTGTTGTTGCACTCAGTCACCATCTCACCCACATCACCCTCCCACTCCCTTTCACCTCTGAAAGTAAAAAAAAAAAGAAGTAAATATTTGAAACAATCGTTTTTAATATTTAATGCATATATTATTTTTTTAAACACATTTTTTATATCTAACTGCCACGAATGCTAAAATTAAAACGTGTTCTCCCTTAAACAGTCAAAATCATGTCAGTTATGATCAGGGGTGCCCATACCCCCAAGGTTGATGGCCATGACCCCCCTCTCCCCTCCCTCCTCCTAAGATATTTTATTTCTCTTCTCTTCTTAAAAACAGTGCAAACTAAATAGCCCAGTAACCCAGTAGATTGTTAGTTGCATTGAATGGGGGTAGAAGATTTATTTTTATTTTCTTGTATAGGATGTGACTGAGATGCAAAATCTAAACTTTCGACCTCGAAGGAGCAGTTTTCGACAAAAAAACGTCCAATACATGTTTAAAACACATTAAATTAACTTATATTTGAGACCAAAACTGGCTCAGTAAATCTAATAGGTTTCGAACTACAGATTTTCAAAATTTGGCAAATTTTGCATAACTCCTCCCTCCTGTACTCTCTTTTTGAAATGTCAAATTGAATAAATGTTTATATTACTGACTCGTATCAGACAGGCTATCTGAAGATATAAAGACAATTGCTTATGATAAAACATGAAAATTAGTATTGATTCAAATTTTCAAGTTCGGTAAAATTTACCTAAATTTGAAAAGCTGTAGTTTAAAACCTTTTACGTTTACCAAACCTATTCTAATCTTAATTGTAGTAAATTCAATGTAGTTTAAAAATGTAATCAATGTTTTTTGTCAAAAACATGCTCCTTCATGATCAAAAATGGGTAAAAAACAATGGAACTTGCTACCACTTGATGCAACTTGGACCCTCTTTTCCTGACAAGTTTACTTGACTATACCTACCATATTATACACAGTATAGATTATTTTTCATCACTTATTAATATAGAAATATTAACTTTCTTTAAACAAATATCATTATCAACTATTATTAGTTATTAAATTTTAATCAATATACTTTTAATTATTATTATTAAATTATTAACTTTCTAAAAATCACTAATTTTTTTTTTGTATATTTAAATAATTTTATATATCTCTCTCTATTATATAAAAAAGTCTTTAGTGACTTTCATATTTTATTTTATTTTAGGATTAGGAGAGTAGGAGATTACAGGAGCTCTCCTGACAGCTCTAATTGTACAGCTGTTCATTTAATTACACACATCTTAAGCTCCTGTAACCTATTCTCCTAATACAAAATAGAGATTTACACCCTAAGTGTCTTCGTTACAGTATTAAGCTCCTGTGAACCAACTATTCTAATACAAAATTAAAATTTTAGGCCAAACATTTGTACGGAAAATATTATTCATCTGGAAGTGGTAGTTTGATTTTACCTAGGTGACGGCAGTTATTTTTGATCTCGACATTTTCCTTTGAATACAATATATTATACATAATATTCTAGGAGTGAGCTAGCTCAATGGTAGACCACTGAACTTCCAATGCTCGAGGTCGCTGGTTTGAATCCCGGCTCATGGTATTAATTATTCGGTTTCATCGGGCGTAGGGCGATCCTGGATTAGGGAGACCCTCCTGGGGCACACCCAACCTTTAAAAGTGTGTAACTTGAATTTAAAAAATAATTAAGGGAGAAAACCTGGCGGTTGAGCTGTGATCCTCTCCCTGCATTGGGTTTTAAATGAAACTCCTTGCTGAATACACCTCCCTGAAGAAGACCTGTAAATTCGGGTCGAAACGTTGGGTTTTAATAAAATAGTTTTGCCATTATTGTAGTCTATTTATGGCCGCAACCCCGGATCATAGAAGATATTAAAAATAAAACAGTCAAATTGATGTTGGACAGGTTGAATATATATATTATGAATACAAATTGGTAATAAGAATAATATAACCAATAAGAAACGATGTATATGAGCGATTTTTAAAGAAATAAATTTTTTTTCAGAACTGTGGTTTCGTTCAGTTTATTTATGTTGATAAAAAAATAATACAATCTGAACTACAGAATACATGTTCATTACAGTTATACAATTTGAGCAACGAATAGTACAATTAAATGAACAGTTGTATAATTTGTAAAATGGAGGTTGGACCAATGTTGGGCTGACAGGGAGTACACTGTGTAGTACATAATAAAAAAATCTGGTGTGTCCACTCACACGACTTTCCTACCTATATCAGAAAAGTTTTTATATTTTTACATGTTTTAAAGAAATGTTTTAGTACGATTCATTTGATAGACTAAAGCAATGTAAAACGGCTTAAGGTAAATCAGTGTAAAAATATCAGTACCCTCTAACATTGCTGATCAAAAACTTTTTGTCATAGCCTAATTTTGTCAAACAAAAATTTCTGTTAAAAGTAGAGGAAATAGTGAAGCATGTGTGATGCGAGCAAAAGATTTTTTTACTTTTACTTAGTTTTTTTTTTCTCTCATTCATCCCTTTCTGACACCAGGATATGTACCCGTAATCTTACATTGGAAATTGAATAGCTGTAACTTCTTTAATACTGGTCCGAAATGAACGATTTTTATATAGTTTTGTAGACCTACAAATTACCTTTCAAAACAACAGGCTAAACAGTGTTGACACAGAGGGCTCTGAAACGTATAGATCCGTCGAAGACCGCATATCAGAAATTTGATCCGATCGCAATACTTTCCGAAGTAAATAAAAAAGAGTGGTCATTGAAACTACTCCGTCGAGAATCAGTGAACTTGACTACCCTCCGTGATATAACCAATCATAGGATTAGATAAATATTGTCGATAAATTTATAATAATATTTATATAATGGATATTAAGTAAAATATAATTACAATAAATAGAGTGTATTGAGACAAAGGCAGATGGCTAGCCAGGGTCAACGCTTCCTCATTATTGGGAGGATGGGGGGTGGGGAGGGGTTATACAATTGCGTAGGACTCGGCTTTCTCTATTGTCCCTCGTCAATGACGGTTCGGATTACAGCTGATCGGCTGCCAGTAACCTCAGCCAATACTTCTTTCACCGAGAAATTTATCTATTCTCTCCAATATGATTTGGCTCATTTCATAATTGTAGTAAAAAATATATGTATGATAATCTTGTATATTATTTCTCAAATTCCCTTTTCCGGCTCTGAGGAGTGATGAATTTTGACGAATGAGGTATCAACAGAAAGGGAATATAACGTAGAGTGCGCGAATCGTAATTTTTATTCCTAATTTTATACCATGAGTTAAATAAAAGTGGGAGGTTTCAAAACATATGATGGTGCCGTCTCAACGAATCGAGACGTTACAAATTAATTCATAATTTGGGAATAACTCGGAAAGGGCACAATTTTTGGAGCCATTATGCATGAGTATTTGAAAGCTTACTAAATTCCCTACAAACGTAAAAAAAATCATCGAAATCGGACAATTTGGTGCAGAGTTATTGTGTTCTATACATTTAGTATTAATTCTACTTTTTAATTTTTTTTCTTCATTTCAGTTTTGGATTTCTCAAAAACTTTAAATCTATTGTAGTAATAATTGTTTTCATCAAGTTTATTTTAGTAGAATTTTATTTTTTCTTTGAATCTTTAAAATTGTTCAAGGTTATATATTAATAATAAAATTCATAATATCGAGGAATAAGCTTTTTTTTAATCATATGTATATATTCCATGCTTGGATCATTTAAATGAATTAAAGCATGAAATAAATATACAAGCGTAAATTAAAGCTTTTTCCTCGATATTATAAATTTATTAGTAGATTTTCATATATTAGCTACATAAAAATTTTTACTAAAAATTCATGAATGCCTATTTACTTTCAACTTGAATCTTAAGATAATTTGATCACAAAATTGAAAAAAAAAAAGAGGTGACCTACAAAACATTGGGCCACTAGGCTTACATAACCTTGCCATTTTGACATGTTGGGAGTATATGTCACGCCAAACGGACCAATATTTTGTAGGCCACCTTTATTATCGATTTTGTTATAAAATTATCTTACGATTCAAGTGGAAAGCAGATGGGTATTAATGAGTTTTAAGTACTTAATTAGATAGACAAAGTTTGTCGAGCTCCAGAAAGAAAACGACCAAATTCAGAGAACTTTCGTAAAAAAAAGTTGCAGGTTATGGGGAGGAAGCTTCGTGAAGCTAATCACGAAGTTTTAAACGGATGTTAATAATTTGATAAAAAGCGGTCTGCACTACGGATTTCAAGGATATATTGAAAATAATATTAACGATTATTAATTTTTCAATTTATTTAACATCTCTCCGTGATTTCAGGAAACAAGTTATGAAGGAAATGAAACTTTATTTGCAGCAAACTCAAAAAGTACCCATCCATGATTATTTAAAAAATTACTAAATTCTCTAAAGAAGGAAAACAAAAATCATCAAATATATGTTTTATGATTTATATTATATGACTTATATATTCCATGAATATGTTTTAATATACCATTCCGCCTGAAGGGAATTTTTTGCATTGGTGTTATTTTTGAGGAACATAGTCCCAAACAACTTTGGAGAAGGTCCCGAAGCGGTAAAAATTTTGGGACTACTAAAAAAAGTTTCAATTTCAAGGTCTTAAATTAAACATTTTGTTTAATTAGTTTATAGAGAGTTTTAACAAATTTGTAGTTCCAAAAATATTTAAGTTTTCTTTTTTTGTTATTAAAATTTTAATAAATTTTATACAAGCCATCCTGCAATGCATTGAGTACTACCAGTTCACCCACTGAATTTTTGAAACAAAAGCAATTAGAGGACTCGAGTTCAATAACTTCTACACCTATTTGACTCTAAACTCAAATTAATACTATAGATTCTTGACACGTTACATATAACTTCAACCAGAGCACACTCCCATCTCTACAATGGTAGTTTTCAACTTTAACTTAAGGGACAAAGGCTTCTTTAGCCGAATATATTTATAGATAAATCTTACGATTCTAGTGGAAAGCAAATGGGTGTTCATGAGTTTTTATTACCAAATTAAATAGACAAAGTTTGCCGGCCTCTAGATTGAAAACGCCCCAATTCCGAGAATTTTTGTAAATTAAAAAAATGTAGGTTACGATGAGATAAAGCTATTCACGAGATTTTTAAAAGTAAATGGTGTCTGAAAACTCTGTTAACAGATGTTAATGAGTGTTGAAATCGTACGATATAAATACAAATTATTTTTGAAGGAATCTAGTCGACTGTTATACTACTACATATCATGGGTGATAAATATTCAGGACGCAGTCATTATAAAATTTTTATTAGTGCCGACGTTTCGTGCAAACGTCACAGTGTCGAAGGAATATGTACGTATAATAAATTTACAAATTTCAGAATCATTCACATACCACTTTGACTTACTTATAAAAATATACTAAATACGGAAAAATATTTCAAACATATTACTGTACATATTCGTTCCAAACTGTGAAGTTTACAGAAAGTAAACCTTCAACATAGGCTTTAGCTCTATTATCTTCTAGCAGTTAACATTTATTGGCGTTTTAATTTATGACTAGGCAGGCGACATTCATTTGTCTGATTTACAATCCGTCACAACAGATTATGATTTAATGCTGTTTTAAATCATGAGTGATGATCCCTTTACACAAAAAATCGTTTAAAGATAAATGTCGAGTTGATATCATTAGAAGATGTTGTTACTATATTATGTTCTGTGGTTATTGAAAGCATGAAGGATATGGACTAAAAACGAAATGATTTTATAGAAATGGATACCGTCGGATTTATGCAAAAAGTCTCTAAAAGCATTTTTGATATAGGTTAACTTTTAAATATGTTTTTATAAACTTCCACTTCCAGGGGTATGAAAATGAAACGAACACTTTTATACATTAAATATAATTGTAACAAGCACACAATTTTCTGATTTCGTAAGGGAAATTTTTATTTAAGTTTTTGATTAGTTAAGGTTATGAAATGTCCTTTAATGAATTTTTGCAAAAAAAAACAAAAAAAAAAAAAAACGACTATTTATAATTGATCGTTGAATTTGTAAGGATGAAAAATGGCCAGGATGTTGAGTCATAACATAGGGTCGTTGGAAAACTACACATCCTGACCCATTTTTCATCCTTGAAATGATATTTAATAGATGAGTTTATTCAGAAGTAATTAAATCATTGATCCATGTCAAATAAAAAGCATGAGGTATTTTAAATCATTGTGAATGTACATTCATTTATTTAATGCCAAATAAAAACTGATGCGGTGCGCGCATCACAACTTACAATTTAATTTTGGGCAGAAATACGTGAAAATAAAAACTAAATTTAGAGGTGGCGGTCGTAAATAGACTAAATAGTGGTAAAACTATTTTATTAAAAGCCAACGTTTCGACCCGACTTTGCAGATCTTCTTCACAGCTAGAACGGACAGGATACAAAAGTATATAGAGAATTCTGGAAGTTATATAATATTTAGACAAAAAATTATAAACAATGTGAATGAGCTTATTAAAATTATAAACAATAAGTGCATTAAAAAATAAACAGAGTTAGCTAAGTAACAAGATCCTAAACTGAACAAACAGATAAAACAATTGTGGTAGTGTAATATATAATACATGCAATTGTGAAGTGCAACTCCTACAGATCTACAGGAGAAATTGGAAGAAAAGGAAAAAGGATATAATATGAAGGAAGTCCATTATTTTATATTGTATCCATTATTAAACATTTAAAAATTAAAGACGAGATATATATATCGTCTTTAATTTTAATATATATATATATATATATATATATATACACATACTTATATATATATATATGGAGTGGGGTAGCTCAGTGGTAGGGCACTGAGCTTCCAATACTGAAGATCCCAGGTTCGAATCTCGCCTCATGACAGAAAATTTATTTATCTCTTTCATTGGCCGTGGAGCGACCCTGGGTAGGAAGACCCTCCTGGGGCACCCCCAGCCTCTATAAAGTGGGTACCCTTAATTAAATAATTGATTAAGGGAAGGAAACCTGGCGGATGAGCGTGATCTCGGGCAAATCACTTCCTTGCACAACCGTTGACCTAGAAACAGTGCTTTTCCTAAATAGTACTGAGCCCAAGACCCTTCATGGGTTGCAGTGGTACAGGTTTATATATATATATATATATATATATATATATATATATATATATATATCAAAAATAGTGGTTTCATATCAAAAACTGACATCTGTCATTTTCAATAATTGGAGAAAAGGTAGATTTTTGTTTTATAGGTTCATCTAAAACTGTTTCTGATGATTATATTTAAGAATAGTCTTTGATATTAAGCCAGTAATATAAAATATTAATTATAAACTGTTACAATATATTAATTTAAAAAAAATAATTACCATACGTGTTTCGCACCCGTCTAATCTATCAAATTTATTAATTTTTCTCTTGGTCTCAGTTTTAATGTCAATTTATTTTCTTCTAAGACTATATTTTACTTATTTATTTAATTATGAGAATGCCACTATTTTTGTTGGTGCCAGTGACAAATGAGGCCACGAAATTTATCTATATTTCATTGTGAGTATTTTTAATTGTTCAAGTGTTGGTTTACATATAAATTTTAATTTTGATATTACCCTCATCTATTATCTATACATTGTCATACAAACGTTTTCCACCAAGACAACGCTAGGGCTCACACTTCATTGGTCCCTCGCAATAAAATAAGCTTTGGATGGGACTTTTTGCCCCATCCTGCCTTTTCACCAGACCTACCTTAAAGCGACTAAAACTCATTCCGGACTCTGAAGAACTCTGTGAATCGAAAGAAATTTCCAAGCAGAGAAGACATCAAAACCCAATAATATCAGTTTTTTGACAATGTATGCCAGATGTGGATTATACAGTTAGTGAAAAGATAAAAACAGAAAATAGTAAATAATAATAAATACATAAATTTAATGTCTATAATACACTAATTTTATTTCATCGTGAAACACCGAAACTACTTATTTGCTAACCCAATATATTGTACAATGTGTGGACAATAACAATAAAGGTACAAATTACGAAAGAGCCGATAACATAGGGTTATTTATGGCCTTAATGTAGCCGATATGTTAGGCTAGGTGTCAAGTACCGCCCACGGAACCAGAACGAGCTCGTAAGTTCCACTCGCAGACAAGTAAACCAGACAATATGTGATACTCCCGCGCCTCGAGATGGGGAGTAAATCTTACATTAATTGCCAATTAAAGCAGGCGATGAATCCTGGTTGACAATATCAATATCGACGCACAGTGGATCCAGTAAAGAAAAACACGAGAGATATTGATCAATATTAGAAATTTCTATAATGACTTAAATGTATATAAACTCGTTCTTTGGACTTCAAACTATCTCATAGTCTGTTTTCAAACAATTCTAGTTATAATATTAATAATAATAATAATAAAAGGCTTAGCAAATCAGAAGGTTCGATGCCGATACCACCAATCGCTGCATACACACATCCCTCCACCGGTCGCCTTCTAAACCCAGTCCCTTCAGGTCGGCTAACGCTAACTTCCCACCTTCGCCGGATGGCGGTCATAAATAGGCAAAATAGTGGCAAAACTATTTTATTAAAAACCAACATTTCGATCCGACTTTGCAGGTCTTCTTCAAGGCTAGAGCGGATCCAAAAAGATATAGAGAATTGTGGAAGTTACATAATATTTAGACAAAATGTATTATGTAACTTCCACAATTCTCTATATGTTTTTGTATCTTGTCCATTCTAGCCCTGAAGAAGACCTGCAAAGACGGGTCGGAACGTTGGCTTTTAATAAAATAGTTTTGCCACTATTTAGCCTATTTATGACCGCCACCCCGGACCATCTTCTTCTTTTAAAAATAAATATTATTTATATATTTTTACTATGTATTTTGACTTAACACCCCAACCAACTTCTCTTCAATTATTCACCACAGTCAACCATCAATCCACAAGTTTTAATAATTTAAATTTTGATAAATTTTCACACATTCAAATATAATTTATTGAAGTTTATTGCTAAACCAAATAAACATGGAAAGTTGAAGGTTAAAAAGACGTTGACACCTTCGACCTTTGACGCCATTCGACGCGGAGTCACTCAGGAAACGCAAGGACGTTCCGGTCACCATGAAAAATTGCTATTGCGTTTCGAAATAATTTTTTGGTCCCATCCATATCTGATTGGATGACCTACTAAATTGAAAAATATTCAGCTTGTGCATGTATATATATATATATATATATATATATATATACATATATATATACATACATATATATACATATATATATACATACATATATATACATATAT